GGTCAGCACCGGCAAACTTCAGTAGTCTGGGGCTATAAGCGGATGATCAGGAGGGCCGGGACAGACTCTTTGGAGGACGGGTGGGGTGAATGTCCAGTGGAGGTCAAGCGAGGTGAGACCCAGTGGCACCCTTCGGGCTCAGTGGCCAGGAGCCAGCCTGACTCAGAGTGTGTTTTGGGGAACGCTGGGAGTGGGGTGAGCAAGAGAGGACAGCATGCAGGGAAGGCTGGAGAAGCCCAGCTGTGCAGAGGGGAACAGAGAGAGAGAGAGAGAGAGAGGGCGTGAGCTCACGTGTGGAGGTGGTGCCAGAAGAAGGCCTGAGCTGAGGGCCCAGGGACAGCTGGGTGGGAGCCCACATCCTGGGAGAGTGCAGAGCTTGGGGGTTGGGGCTGAGGCTTGGCCATGCTCACCAGACAGGTCAAGCCGCTGCCAGTCCCCTGGGGATCTGGGCTCCTGAGAGGCCAGGAGGGCTCCTGGCTGCGGTCCTCTGGGGCAGGCTGGGAATGCCAGCAGTAGGTGAGTTGGGGGCTCCATGGGATTCTACCCCATGTGCTCTGTGGCCCCCTGCAACCCACTTTCGGGAATGCCGGGGCAAGAGGAGCCGCCAGCCTCCGGGCAGCTGGAGAGGCTGGGCCGCCTGCTCTCTGAGCGTCCTCGGTCCTCAGTCCTGACTCCTCTGCTCCTGGAGAAGCCCTCGCTCTGCAGAAGCTGCGTCTCAGTGCCCTTCACAGCTATGTGCCTTCCACCCATGCAAGGTGTGGGGTGTCTGGAGCCCGATCCTCACACACAACCATCCAGGCAGCTGTGGGGCAGAGATGGCAGCTTTCTGGGACCTGGGGGCACTGCAGGGGCTGATCATGGTAGCCAATGCCCTGGCAGGCGGCAAGGCCATGAAGAGGCCATGCCTCAGTTTCCCCGCTGAGTGAGGTACATGCGCCTTCAGGCAGCTGCCTCAGTCACCTGCCACCTTCAAGCAGGTGCCAGCCTGGAGGAGCTCTTCCTGGCTTCCAACAGCTGTGCCACTTGCTGTGGGTGCCTTTTGCGGCCTGCGCCCCTGACCAGGTTGGACCTCTCCAGCAGCGAGCACCTGTTGGCTGAGCGGGACACCTTCCTGTCCCCAGGGGCCCTTCAGGAGCTGCAGCTGCAGGGAGCTGGCTGGCCACACTGCTCGCTGTAAAATAATGTGCCATATAGGGGTCACTTAAAAACACTCCAGCCTGGACACACATCCAGACCTGAGGTGTGTGCGGGGGTAGAGTGGGTGAACAGGGCTGAGGACCGCTGAAGCTGGGGCTGGCGTGCTGCTCATGTGACTCTCCGTCACGAAGGGACTTAAAAAGTCCACTGTCAGTCTGTCTGTTTTTCTTTTTTTGAGATGGAGTCTTGCTCTGTAGCCCAGGCTGGAGTGCAGTGGTGTGATCTTGGCTCACTGCAGCCTCCTCTTCCTGGGTTCAAACAATTCTCCTGCCTCAGCCTCCAGAGTAGCTGGGATTACAGCCACCTGCCACCATGCCCGGCTAGTTTTTGTATTTTTAGTAGAGATGAGGTTTCACTGTGTTTCAGGCTGGTCTCAAACCCCTGACCTCAGGTGATCCGCCTGCCTCGGCCTCCTGAAGTGCTGGAATTACAGGCGTGAGCCACCTCGCCCAGCCAGTCTCTGCCTTTTAATTGGCGTATTTAGACCAATTCATTCACATTTAACGTGGTGACTGGTTTCATGGAATTAATACCGACCGCTTTGTAACTGTTTCCATTTGTTGCCCTTGGTCTGAGTTTCTGTCTCCCTTTCTTTTCTGCTTTCTCTGGTTTGAATTAAGCATTTTATATGATTCCATAGCCTTTTTTTTTTTTCTTACTCTGTTGCCCAGGCTGGAGTACAGTGGCACGATCTTGGCTCACTGCAACCTCCACTTCCCGGGTTCAAGCAATTCTCCTGCCTCAGCCTCCAGAGTAGCTGGGACTACAGGCGCCTACCACCATGCCCGGCTAATTTTTGTATTTTGAGTAGAGACAGGGTTTCACCATCTTGGCCAGGCTGGCCTCGAACTCCTGACCTCGTGATCCACCCACCTCAGCCTCCCAAAGTGCTGGGATTACAGGTGTGAGCCACCATGCCTGGCTGAGTCCATAGTCTTTTCCTTAGTAGCATATAAATTATACTTTAATATAGAGAAAAATAGAAAGATATGTATTTTAGTGGTTGCCCTAGAGTTTGCAACTAATCCAAATCCACCTGTAAATTACATGGTGCTGCTTCATGGGTCACATGGTAACCTGTAACTGACAACCCGCTTCCTCCCACCTGTTCCTTCTAACACTGCTCTTACACATTTCACTTGACCATAAGCTGCCATCACCCAATACACTGTTGGTATTCTGATTTTGAGCAAACAGTTTTTTCTTTTTTCTGTTTGAGACAGAGTCTCACTCGGCCACCCAGGCTGGAGTGCAGTGGTTCAGTCCAGCTCACTCCTCTCTGGCTCAGGTGATCCAACTTCCTCAGCCTCCTGGGTACCTGGGACTATATATGCACATGACACCACGTCTAGCTAATTTTTTTGTATTTTTTGGTAGCATCAAGGTTTTGCCATGTCACCCAGGCTGATCTTAAACTCCTGGGCTTGGCCAGGCATGATGGCTCACGCCTGTAATCCCAGCAGTTTGGGAGGCCGAGGCGGGCGGACCACGAGGTCACATCAAGACCATCCTGGCCAACATGGTGAAACCCCGTCTCTACTAAAATATAAGAAGTTAGCTGGGCATGGTGGCACACACCTGTAGTCCCAGATAGGAGGCTGAGGCAGGGGAATCGCTTGAACCCGGGTGGCAGACGTTGCTGTGAGCCAAGATCGTGCCACTGCACACCAGCTTGGCAACAGAGCAAGACTCCGTCTCAATTAAAAACAAACAAAACAAAAAACTCCTGGGCCCCAGCAATCCACCCCCCTTGGCCTCCCAAAGTGCTGAGATTATAGGTGTGAGATACTGTGCCCTGCCCAGTTTTCTGTTAGATGAGTCAGGAATAAGGAAAATAGCAGGTTTCTCACTAATTTTGTATGTTTCAAAACCTGTAAAGCATTAAAAAAATCCTGTTAGCTCATTCTGGGCGGTGATGACACGGAATGCAGTTCTGCAACCTTTGCTCAGATCTTGCTTTGCTTGGTGTAGGCTTTGCACGGGGACCTTGCATGGGTCAGCAGGACATGCGGCTGGGAGACACGATGGTGAACGAGGACAGCTGGGGGAGCAGGGATCCACCTTCCTGATGTCACGACTGCGTAAGCCGGGGGTGTTGATGAGTGGGCCCGGGACAAGCTGAGAGGCACCCCAGGTGCTCCCTAAACCTGGAGATGAAGACCATGGAGGCCAAGGCAGAGCGCAGACGTTCCAGATGCTGCGCACAGCTTTTACTGGGCTGGGAGCTGGCATCTCACAGTCACAGACCAGCCTGATTCCAGCCCCTGGCTCCCTGTCTTACCCACGGGAGAAGTCACAGGCCACTGGGCACTGGGTGCCGCCTGCGTCCACAGCTGCCCACATGAGCTCTGTCCAGGCAGAGCAGGAGGCCCAGGGCCTGGCATCCTCTGTGGTTAGTGAAGGTGCAGGGAATGCCCGCCTCCCCCTCGGATGTCCAGGGTTAGGCCGGAAGTGACCTCGCTACTGGAGATTATGAGAATGGTGCCGTGGCAGCAGACATGCAGGAGGGAATGAACCTCTTGTGTTTTCAGAGGCCCAAAGGTGCCCACCCAGCCTCTCCTGGGCAGCAAGCCCCCACCCTCTTTGGGGGACTCCACTCAGCCTTGGAGAGAGGCTCAAAGGTGAAGATGCCTGCTGGCATCACGGAGGTGGACTCTGGGGACACCATCCACATCGTAAGTCAATCCCCAACAAGTCACGGGACTGCCCCTCAGTGCCTCCTAGAGGCCAGCTCTTCCTAGTGTGGGGCTGGGGGGGGGAGGCTGCAGCCCTAACCGGATGGAGATCAAGGTGACCCTCCTGTCCCAGCAGCCAGGGTGGCTTTTCTCCCCCCTCCCCTCTCCTGGGGGCCAGGGTTTGGGTGACATGAGAGGCCGCCCAGGTCGGGCAGGCTTGGGCCAGCCTGCTGCAGGGGGACTGCAGGGGAGGACAAGCTCGCCAGTTGGATCCCCGGGGCCTGACAGACCACAAGCCCTGCTGGGACAGGCCCTGGCCACCCCACCCCAATGTCAACCCTTGCCACTCCATCAAGGTCCTGGGACTGTCTGCCCCCCGAATCCACACAGCCTCTTTGTGACCACCCACGTCCAGCTCTGTCCCCCCCCCGCGAGGGCTAGTGGGCGCCTTCTGAGCAGGGGGGTCCTGGAAGGCCGGGAGTGAGGGCTGGCTAGTTGTGTGGCCAGGCTGGCCTCTCCAGCAGCTGCGGTGTCTGCCCTGACACCAGGGAGGGGCTGCGCCTTGGCCTTTTGGTCTGTCTCCATCAGCCTCTTGGGGTACCCTGAAATGAACATGGTGAGGCACGCACACGTTCCCCACCTGGGGCAGCCCTGACACCCTCTGTAGGGGATCCCTAGTAGCCGCTGGCCTCAGGAGTTCTGTGCCACTGCGGGCAGAGCCTGGGGCCTCTGTGCTGATCCCAGGGCCATGCCTGGCTACAGAGGTGAGGCTGATGGGCAGCACACCAGAGAGCCCTCCTGGACTCTGGGACCTCCACCACCAGGCAGCTTTCCTGGCTACAAGGATCCCGTCACCAATGGCTAAATACAATTTGGGTCCTGATTTTGGGAAGGGCTGTCCTGGCCTAGCTGTGGGACAGGGGCTTGCCTGTGAGGTTGGGGTGGGAGGCCCCAGCAGGTGTTTCTAACCCTAAAATGGGGTGGCTGGGAGGGGTGAGAGCTTGGAACCATGAGCGAGACAACTTATAACTTCGTGCCTCCAGAATGCGTCCGTTTAATAGACGGTCCCAGCGCTGACCACACAAATCAGTCAGGACCCAGCAGCAAAGGACCCAGCAGCAAAGGACCCAGCAGTAAAGGACTCAGGGCGGCTCCTGCTGTCAGCCGCCGCTGGGATTCCCCTTGCTGAGATCCTCCGTCCACACGGCCCAGCCCAGAGGCTTAATTGTGCTTCACAGGTCGGGGTTTAGAAAACGAGGCTTTGCTTTAAAAGGGTATAAAATGGTCCATGGAAATGCACCATCTGTGCGCCCAACGTCCCCCAGACGCAGGAGCTGGAGAAGTTCAGTGCGAAGTAGAGAAAGCGGCTCTCCTGCTTCTGTTCAGAAAGGCCCATGGCAGCAGGGCTGTCTGGGGACCTGGGGACACACCCCTCACACATGCCCGGCTTCCCTGGGCCCTTCGAGGCTTCTAACTTCCAGAAGGGGCTCAGGACGGCAAACAGCAGAGGGCCCCTCGCCCGGCCCACAGAGTGGAGACCAGCACCCTGGCCCCCAGGCCCTGGCTGGCGGGAAGTGAAGTTGCTTGGCTGTGAACTCTCCGGCCGGCTCACAGTCGGCTGTGGCCCACGTGGGGCTCCCGGGTTCTGGGTTCTCTCCCGCTCCCCATGCACCCCAGCCCCACCCTCTAACACAGCCTGGCCTCAGCCCTGCAGGGTGTCCATTCCCTGCACTGCCCTCCCAACCGGCCCTGGTCACGAGTTGCGGTACATCTGTGTAAAGAGACGTGGACTCATCGATTTGTAAAAATAGGTTAAAAAACTCTCCCCACCAGCCTGCAGGTGCCCAGAGGTAAGCTGGCCCTCCCCCAACAGCATGAGGGCCTCCTTTCTGGGTGGAGTTCCGGGAGCCGCATGAGCAGAGTGTGGCATCCCAGGGTCACCCGAGTGCCACTGTGTCCTTGCTCCTCCACGTCCTTCCTGAGGACCCTGGGCAGGGCACCACTCCCCTGCCTGGCAGCCGGAGCTCCGTGGAGGGCTGGCTCAGAGCTGGGTCTCGTCGCGTGTCGCGGGATTGCAGGATGACAGCTTGTGGCTGCAGCTGCTCTTCTGGCTCGGGGAGCTGCTGGCCACGTGAGCCAGGGGGTCGGATCGGATGAGATAGCTGTGGGAGGGCAGAGGGGCTCCTGGAGGGGGTGTGGTCCGGGCGGCCCTGCCCAGCCCTCTTCTGAGCCGCTCTCCTGTGGTGCCTGTGGCCCCGCCTCCCCAGTGCCCATGTGGTGCCCAGGGCATCTGCACACAGCCTGCAGGTGCTACTCACACAATGTCATTGGGCTCCAGCCTCGTGTCGGGCGGAGGGTTGATGAGGACATAGGAGAGGGTGTTCTGGTGGTCGTTCATCTCATCTGCAAGGACACAGCCGGGCAAATGTCACCCCTAGCCCTGCCCCTCCCAGCTCTGCAGGGGCCCGGAGGCGTGGGAGCTCCAGAATGAGCTGTCTTTCCGGCCTTCCTCAGTGTTCTGCTCCAGCGCCTCATCCTGGTGAGTCCAGCCAGGGCCCGACCGACACCTGTCCCCAACCCATCCCCACACTGGGCAGGGGGCAGCCACGAGGGCAGCCGGGAGCCAGCTCTGACCTATACCCCCCTCTGGTGCCAGGTGGCATCACCACAAAGGGTGGCTCTGAGCAGAGCCACCGAGCATACCCGCACACACCTGCCACGTAGGTCACACACTAGCACATGCTGGCAGGTGTATGTTCACCATTCCCCTCCCATGCACCCCTTCATCTCCACCTGCACACACCTGGATCCATCCACACGGAACTACACGCCCAACCCCCATACACACACCTGTGTACACGCCCACATGCCCTGAATACACACCTATATACTTCTTCCATCTTCACTCCTGAATGCCACACACATTTGTATCTGCACACATCTCCACAGCCCCCCACATCCATGCTGTCTGCAAACCCCTACACACCTGCACACACACCTGCACGCTGTCCTCCGCATCCACACCCACCACAGGCTCTGGAGGCTGCTCAGCCCTGCCCCTCCTGCAGGACCCCTGCAGTGCTGCCATCCCAGGCCTGGACAGCCACTCCTGCTCCCTGTGCTCAGCCCTTTGCTTTGGACTCGAGTCCTGAGTGGCATCAGCTCAGGGCACACCTCCGCCCCAGCTCATCCCTCTGAGAACATGGCCCCTGCCTCGTGGGAGACAGCCTGGCATCTGGCTCACGGGGTGAGAATGGCTCTGGAGAAACATGCCCCGTCATCTCAGTCTCTGTGTGGCCAGCAGGGCAGGCTGCCAAGCATAGGGAGAGGCCAGCATCCCATCAGTGGCCCTGGGTTCACTGGCTGAGGAGGAGGGCCTCTGGCCTCCGTTTACCCATCCGACAGTGTCTAAGGGAACCTCCCGTTTCCTGTTCCAGGCTCCACGGACAGAGAACAAAGGTGACCCAGGACAAGTGAACCTCAGGAAGACTTGCCCTGGGCAGCCTCCATCCTGGCTACTGCCATTCCCTTCTCTCTGCCCATCCTCTCCCTTGGGACAGCCTCACTATGGCCCCTGTGAAAGGAAAAGTCGGGAGGTTGCTGGCTGCCCAGCCAGGCGGGGGCCATGCCAGTCCCCCTGCTGTGGGGGCTTTGGCCTTCCCACTGTGAGCACAGCGGCTGCCTGGGAGGCAGGGCACAGACTAGGACTTGGGGCCAACTGGGCAGCTCTGGCCAGGAGACCAGCTCTGCCTTGGGCCTTTCGCACCCTGCGCGGGTCACTTGGTGCCAGCTCCTGTGTCCATGCCTGGGGGACAGGACGGCCTGACACCTGCCCCTCACAGCCCTCTTGCTCTTTTCCCAAAGCCCAGGGCAGGGACTTCCCCAGGCCTTTGGTGGAGGCCCAGGGACCTCATGCTGGGGCTGTGCAGGGAGGTACACCCTCGCACCACACCCGGGTGCCTGCACACACCTCTGGGGTGGCCGTACAGCAGGTGTCACAGGAAGGGGGCAGCAGTGGGTGGGGCAGGCGGCTCTCATAGGTTCTTGGGACCCTGCCCGCCCCCCCCCCCACCAGAGCTGCCTGACCGGCTTCATGATGAGCACACGGTGGGACACCGAGAACAAGGGGCCACCAGCTCGTTTCACTCTGGCAGGCACAGACCAGCCCCCAGGCCCCAGCTTGTCCCCCTGGGGCGCCGGGACCACATGCTTCTGACATGAGTAGAGCTCGTAGCTGGGCTGAGCCAGGCTGGGCGGGGCGGGGCGGGGCGGGGAGGGGGGTGGGGACACCGGGCCCCAGCTGCAGTGCTAGGGGCTGGGTTGTGGTCAGTCACGTGGCACTGGCCCTGGCTGCCCAGGGTGGGCACAGAGGTCTAGCTTTGAGTGTCCACTGTGCTTGGTAAAGGCAGGCAGCAGGTGTGCCCGGGGATGGCTTTGGCTCTTCTGGAGAATGTCCTGGAGCAGGGCCACCTCACTCCTGGTCCCCAGGGCTATCTGACTCCTCCAGCCAGACCCTCACTCCAGGCCTCAGTGGGAACTCTGCCTTCCAGACCCCGCCCTAACCCTGCAGCTCCCAGAGCTTCCAGACCCCATGGCCACTGGCATCCACGATCACTCCTGCCTGAATCCCCCACCCTGGGCCAGAGCTACCTGACCCGAGCCTCAGTTTCCTTCTCTATAAATGGGGTAACTAGGGCCTCCCCCAGGGCGGCCATGAGGAAGGTACAAAGAGGTGTTTCTGCGCGTATCGGGGCTGGGCTGGCTCCGCCCATTGCGTGCGGGGTGGGGGCTGCATGCTGGAGGGGCCTCAAGATGCTGCCCATCCTCCCCCCACAGAGCATGACTCTCCCTGTTCTGTGACCTGGCCTGGGCTCTGCTTGAATCCAAACATGGGTGTGCAGCCCCCTAGCCCCGGCACCCTCACCCTGCCGGGCACGTAGTCTGAGCTCAGGAAATGCCCGCCCAATGGGTCCTGTGAGCCGTCGCCCCAAGCCCGCTGTGGCCTCGCCTGCCCTGGAGCGCAGCAGGAGCTGCCAGAAGCCGCACTGTGGGCGTGGGGAGCAGGGGACGGTGCATCCCGCTCATGAATGCCACTAGGTGTGGATCCGAGCCCCACAGTACCCAGCAGAGCCAGGGACTTCCCTGAGCGCCATCACAGGGAAAAGCACAGACCCGGGAGAGGCTGGAGCTTTACTTCCATGGCTGCCCTGGGCCTGGGCCTGGGCCTGCCTCCAGCTGCATGCACGGCCATCCTGCCACACAGGTCCCTCCCAAGCTGACACCTGCGTGGGCTCAGGAGGCCTTTCAAGCTCCCAGGTTACCCTGTAGGGAGGGGGGCAGCAGGTGCAAGCTCTGAGTTCCCGAGGCTGCCAGGACCCCCTAGGAGCGGCCCAGACTGCTCTGAGCACTGATGGGATGCAGCATGTTTTTGGAAGAAATGGGGTTCTGAGCACCCAGGACAGGGTATGGACCCGCTCTGCCCTAGCCGAGCAGGAAGAATCCCCTCGTGGAGCCCCAGCTGGAGGACAGAGGTCACCATCCACCCAGACTGGGCAGCCACAAAGGCTGCTCACTCCCCGTGGCTTGGAATCCCCACCCTGCATCCAGCCCAGGCTTCACTGAGCTCCTCCTGGGGCCCCGGCTTGGAGCCATCTGGGTGCTTCCCAAGAACAGGGAAGCTTAGGGTCCTCAGACCTCTCATGGGTCCGGCCACAGGGAGGGGCTGGCTGTAGGCCAGGTGTCCCACCGGTCCCCTCAGGGCTCATCTGAAACAGCAAAGCAGCAGCACCACTGGGTGAGCCCCAAGCTGGGCAGTCTCCACCCTGCCTGGTGGCCAGCAGCGCCCTGACCAGCATGAGCCCTAGACCTCAGCCTCAGGCCCGTCCTCAGCACCCAGCCAGGGGACACTCTGGATGTGTGAGGCCTCGCCCAACAGGGCTACCTTGGCTGACAGCTGGGACCTGCTCTCACAGCTCCTGTGCACCTGCCTGGCTGGGATGGCGCAGAAGGCTGCCAGTGGCGAAGGGTTGGCGAGCCCCGTGGCGCAGTACGGGGCCCGCCAGAGCAGAATTACCTTGCAAATATCCCAGGTTTACCCGATTCATGACATCACTGGCTGTTAAATTTGCTACGTCCTCTACAGAACACACAGAAAGAGGCACAGACAGAAACAGAGAGAGAGAGAGTCAGTCAGCAAGCGAGGCGCGGGCGGGCGGCACAGCGGGAGGGTGCGGGAGCAGCTGCGCGGGCGGCCGGCCACCCCAGGACCTGCAGCCAGTGCTGGCCACCGGAAGCGAGTTGGTCACCAGAAAGGCAGTTGCTCCTCCCTTGCCAAGCTCTGGGGGCGCCGGACTGGGCTGGATCATCCTCTCCCATCACGGGGGAACATGAAAGTGAATGCTGGGCACCCCTCTCAGCCTCAGGAGCCCCTCCCGGGACAGGGACGCTGTGGGGACGGAGGGAAGCTTCTAGGAGGGGAGATGGGGACGCCTTCCACAACACGCACAGGGCTGGGGCCAGGAAGGGTCTTCATGGGCCACCTGTTCCCCAAACCCTGGCCTTTGAGTCTCCTTCGGGCAGACAGTCCAGCCCAGTGACCCGTGGGCAGCTCCCGGGCCAGCCCTGAGCCCTGGACTCTGCTCGGGGGAGTCAAGGCCCCCGACCCAGGTGATAGACGCAGGAGGCAGGGTTGGGAGACCTGACACCCCAACAGGACAGAGGCAGCCCTAAGCACTGGGCAGGTCCCCGAGATGGAACCAAAGAGAGGGCAAAGCCTTGATGCAGCCCAGGGGTGGGCGTCACCAGGGAGCAGCCCAGTGTAGGGGAGCTGGGGCCTGTGGTCTCATCAACGGAGGTAGCGTCTCTAGAGTGAGAGAGGGGGATGAGCTTCCCTCCATGCAGGCATGGCACCTGTGGCCCAAGCACATTTCCCACCACAAGGTGCAGAGAGAGGGGCTGCACAGATCTGCTGCTGGAGAGAGATGCCGGGCTCCCTGAGCAGCAGGAGGGGGGATGTGCTAGGGGAATGGCAGCGGGCCATGGCGGACGGAGGTGTGTCCTGGCATGGGCCATTCCCCCAGCTGTCACCTCAAAGACAAGGTCCCCTCCACACTGACTGCTGGGAGGGCTCGGGCTCCCACAACCTCTGTGAGAACTCAGGGGCCCTGGGTATTCCATGTCTGGCAGGACCGGCTGCAGCCGGCTGTCCCATCATGGACACTCTTGACTTGGGGAGCCCAGCCTGGCCCTCTGCACCCGACAGCTGGCTCCCCTGAAGGGCTCAGCCAGCTCCCATTTAGTAGAGAGGGAAACTGAGGCCCCAGGGCAGTGGGAACGGGCGCCTCCCCACGGGGCTCAGCACCAAGGATGCTGCCAGGTCCTGTGCCCCCAGCACTGGGGTGGGCTATGGCCACGCCCCTCCTCCACCCTCCTCTGCACAGGGTCTCTGCTGGGGCCGTGGTGGTGGTGCCCACAGCTGGCCCCCCAGGAGGAGCCGGCAGAGTGCGGCTGGAAAGGCCGACAGACAGGCAGGAGGGCGGCCTGGCCCCGGGATGCTGCAGCCGACTATTCCTGGCTGTGGCCCGACCCTGGCCCCGTCTGTCCGTGCCGCCCGCACCCGGGCCGGGCGTCCTTACCGTAGCCGGTGGTGGGCAGCCCCAGGTGCTTCATGCGGTTCTTCACCAGCTCAGAGAGCTCCTGGCGCTCGGAGCGCCGGTACAGGCTGAGGCGCTGCTGGCTGATCCACTCCGCGGCCGCCGCCCGGCCCGCCTGCTTGGGTCCCCTGCGGCTCAGCCTCCTTGCCCACTGCAGGCTCTTGCGCCGCAGCAGCGGGTGCTCCGCGGGGTCGCCGCCGCCCGTGTGGCGGCTGTGGGAGCTGCCTCCAGTGCCAGTGCGCGCGCCCCAGGGCCCCTTCACTTCCCGCGTGTCCTCACAGTCCTCCATGTTCACTGAGATCTGGGACTGGGCAGGAGGGGAGGGGTGAGGCGGTGGGGAGGGGGCGCGGGCTGTGGGGCATGGGGACCTGCGTGGGGGCGGCTGGGGGTGTCGGGAAGAGGACAGACCCCAGGGGTGCATGCACCTTCCTCCTCTGGGGAGAATGCACCTGGTCCGAGGGTTCCTCCTGAGCCCAGACCTCCGGGCTACCCGCCCTGTCCCACCCTGGTCATGGGATTCACCAGCGCCCTTCACCTCTCTGGGCTCTTATTTCTGTGGTTCTGGCTGGGGACCCATCTGGACCCCAGCACATCCTGGCCTTGCCCTGGGGATCCACCCCCTCTGTTCATCAATTTCTCCATCTGCAGATGGGCCACAATCCCTCTTGTAAACAAAACTTTCAGAGGCCTGGAGCGGGCAGAATGTGGGATGTGGGGTACAAGGGCCTGAGAGGTATGGGGTGCTGGGGAGAGGTGGGGCCCCCCATCTGGGCGGCACCTTCAGAAAAGCCTGGGAGGCTGGATCATCAGGCCAGATGGCCATGGGGGATGCCTGCCTTGGTGGGGCCTGGGGGAGCCAGGGCTGGGCCTGAGAGGGGCAGACAGAGTTGCCTGCGTCCAAACTCATAGGCAACTCCCCCCAGGCCTCAGTTCCCTGCCACCAGTGCAGAAGGGAGTGACTGTCAAGCACCCTCTCTGAGCCGTGCTGGGCCCAACATATCCATGTGGGACCCACTCCTGTCTTGGCTTCCCCAGGGCCCCGTGGGTGGGTAGTGCCTGGCAGGCTTCTCTCTGGGATGCACTGGTGTTTGGAAGAGGCTGCGTGGGCACAGAGGGGTCGCTTACCTGGGCTCTGAGATCGTGGGGCTGCAAAGGAAACCAGGCACAGTCTGGGGCCTGCGGACGCACCCCGCCCCCCACACCGCCTCTGCCTGTGGTCTGCCCGGAACATGCGTAGGGCTGGCAGGCAGGGTGCCCGCTGTGTGGGCTGTACCGTGGGCCTGCCCATGTGCTTCCTCAAGCCTCCCCTGACCTTCTCTGCCCCCGGTTGGGGTCACGGCTGCCCCAGCTGGAAGCACCAAGTGTGGGCGCCGGGGCCAGATGGAAAGAGCTGCTGGCAATGGCAAAGCTGATCTAGCCCATGTCCCCAGCACCGAAGGTAGGGATGGCGTGAGTCACACAGGGCAATGGGGCCACCAGTCCCAGCCCCCGGGCTACCCAGAACCTCTGAGGTGGAGAAGACGTGGCTCTCCGTCCTGTAGATGCCGATGGGGATCTCGGCGCTGGAGGAGCAGAGCTTCTGGAAGAGGCGGCCGTAGGTGCGGATCCACAGGTCGCCCTCGGTGATTTTCATCTGCAGTGCGGGAGCCCTGAGCCAGCCAGCCCTGGGCAGGTGGCAGCACCCAGAGCCTCCGGGCTGCCTTCGTCAGGGGTGGGTGTCCACCCACTGGCTTGGGACAGCCCAGCACACCCCCAGCCCGGCCCAGACCAGCAGGGGCACTTACGGCACAGAGGTAGCCAGAGCCCGGCGTGGTGTCCAGACCCAGCAGCAGCCGTGTGATGGTGATCATGTAGTCCTTCACGAAGGACTGCCGGGGAGGGAGGGAGGGAGGGAAGGACCCAGAGCAAGGCACGTGGGCACCATGTGGGATGCAGGTCCACACCCCACTGGCCACGGGCCCGACGTACCTTGCACACACATACAAGTCCCCAGGTCCCCGAGCACCGTGTGACCCACAGGAGGCCTTTTCTAAGGAAAGTTACTTGCCAAGCACCCACAGGTCAAAAAGGGCCCAGAAATTCCCAGGACAAGGACAGGGCCCAGAGGCCTCCATGGAATCCAGGGAAGGTCGTTCAGAGGGAGGCATATCGCTCAGAACGGGGACCAGGCTGCAGCGCCGAGGGCATAACGGGTCCCACCCAGGCACCACCCTCCTGCTGCCACCACCCAGCTGACCTGGTAAAGCAGCGTGTCCAACATGCTGATGCTGAAGACGCGGCCGGCGGCGAACGGCAGGCGGAACATGAAGGCCAGGTTGGAGCCGTTCTCTCGCTCCCTCTGTGGGAAAAGAGGGGCCTCAGGTGGGCTGGTACCAAGGTCCCTGCAGTGGCGCGGCAGCCACAGGGGTAAGGGCATGTGTGCACTGTGTGTGTGCAGTGTGTGTCTCCACGTGTACACACACCAGCAGGCCTCAACCAGCTGTGTCTTTCCAGACACACTCAGGGCCAGAGAGTAGGCTGCGGGGCTATGATGAGAGAAAGGATTCCCGGCGGACACCCCGGGTGCTGCGCTTGGTCGAGCGCCCTGCTCTTGCCATCCGGAAATTCTGAATCCTGCCAATCCTCTCCTGCCCTGATGTTTGCTAAAAAAAAGTGTCTGGAGCTGCCACAGGTGCCCCCGTTGGAAGCAGGTCACTGTGTGCTGGCCTGTCAGACCCAAGAGGGAGTCCCATGGAGGGAGTCCCACGGGAGAGTGTCCCAAGGGGGAGCCGGGGCCAAGGCCACCCAGGCTGGGGAAGACATGGCCCCTCGTGCCCTCTACAGGCTCCTTGCGTGCCAGGGAGGTGGATCCCAGCATCTCCAGAGGTGATGGGTCAGGTGGTCCACGGTGTCCTCTCCTCCCTTGACCCCAGGTCTCTGTATATGCCTGGCCCTGCCCAGGGCCCAGGGTGTCTGTCCCACAAGGACCCCAGCACTATGTCAGTCCAGAGGAGACCATGGCTGCTCTGGGGGCTTTGCTGACGTCCTGACCTCTCCCTGGTCCCTAGCCCTGGTCCCCAGCACAGCTGATTGCCTGTCCCCATGTGATTGCCACGGAATCACATGACCGGGGCCCAGGACTGTTCCGTGCCCTGAGATGGAGAGCTGGCTGCTCCCGCCCTGGCAGCATTGGGCACTGGTGGAGGCGAAGCTGGGGGAGGAGCTGGGGTCCCACGCCGGGGCAGAGGGTGGGTGATTGGTGATGTCTGCCTGGCGGGAAAGGGGGCAGGAGCGTGCTTGTTGACCCAACCTTCAAGCTGCCTCATGGGAGAGAGAGGTGTGAGGCTGAGGCTGAAGGAGCCACGTCAGGCTGGCTGCCTCAACCCGTGCAGCATCCCTATCCACGCCAGGGCAGACTCGGTCTTCCAGATCTAGAGTCCTTCCAGCACTGGGGAGCGGCACGGCACCTGAACATGGAATCCCAGCACGCTGGGACTGCAGAGGCAAACTTCCTCCCTCCCGTGGTTCGAGCTGCAGAGAGCACCCCTCTGCCAGCTGCACTGGGGACCAGGGCTAGGTGCTCCCAATGCTGGGCAGGGTGGGCTCGGGCAGCGGGCAATGTAGACAGAGCCCTGTCCTGTGGTGAGACCAGCTGTCCCCCTACGCCTCAGGCTGATACCGCGGAGGCAGGAGCCCCTGTGGGCCTGGGGGCCGGTCCAGCTTGGCCTCCTCCCACCTTTCTGGGGCAGGCAGAACTGACTCCAGGCTCCCCACAGGCTCTCAGTCCACGGCTGGCTGGAACCCACTTTCACTCTCCATCAGGTTCAGATGGGACAAAGCTGTGTCTGTGTCACAGGGAGTGCCAGTGTGTGTCCTCTGCTGGTGTCGGTGGTCAGGCCTGGCCTGGCTCCGTGGGGCCTCCACAGCGTCACGCTCCGCCGGCCACGCAGGCCCAGCAGCCTGCCGATGAGGACTTCAGCCCAGGTGAGCTTGGGGTTTGCTGCTCCTGACCAAGGTGGCCCAAGTCTCCCCGACGCGGCATGCCCCCTCCCTGCTCTCAGCCTAGGGCAGCCTGGGCACCGGCCCCCATGTGGACAAGGTGGTGCTGCCCTGGCCTGAACAGGTGGGATGTGTGTGGGTTGGGGTCAGCCAAACATCAAGGCAATGGCAACAGTGGCCGTGCCCTCCGCAGCCCTGGGTGCCTGTGCCCTTGGGTTCCACAGCCGACCCTGGTTGGTACCCTTCACAGAGCCGCAGGGGCAGAAAGCCGATTCCAGCTCAGTCACTTTCTCTGCCTTGCGACCTAGGGCAGGCCCCTTCCCTCTCAGGCCCCCGGTCCCGCGTCAGTACTAGGAGGCAGTGCTTACAACAAACCCGTTTCAAGGTTGGGCGTAGTGACTGGGGCAGTGGAGGAGTCTGGAACAGCGCAGCCATGTGCGTTATTTGTACTAAGAGCTGCTGGCCACCCTCTACAACCACAGATGTGAGGGCTCCCCACGGGGGTTTCTGACCAACTCACCATCCCAGAACAGGTGGCCTTGGCCTCTAGACACAGCCAGGCCTGGTCCCTGCTCAGGGAGATGGAGGGCTGCTCCGGGCCACATTCCCAGTGCTCCACACACGGTCAGGGAAGCACCCTGCTCATCTCCTGGCTCCACTAGCAAGAGGATCCTGTCCATGCTGGGCCCCCACCTCCTCTCCTGAGCTTCCCAGCAGGAGGGGGCCGGAGCCCAGCCTCCCGTGGCACCGTCCCCCTTTCCCCGAGCCCCTTCTCTCCCACTTGTTCTGGGCTCCTGGGGTGGCAGCTGGCACAGGGCAGGGCTGCTCACCTTTTCTAGTTTGGAAAGCGCCAGAGAGTAGCTGTCCTTGGCACGGAACTGCATGAAGCGCATGTTGGAAGGGTGGGTGAGCTCCGTGGTGATGCTGAGGCTGGGAAAGAGCCTGGGGAAGGCAGGAGGCTCAGGGCAGGGCCACCGTCATGGTGGGAGGGGTCTCAGAGTGGGACCCATGACTGTGGCTGTGAGGGTCTCAGGGTGGGGACCCATATCCGT